TGTTCTCCATCCAAGAACACTAACCAGTGCGGTAAAACTGCTGGTGCGGTGGAAAGGTGGATGAACGTCCCAAGAGGACAACTGTTCTCCATCCAAGAACACTAACCAGTGCGGTAAAACTGCCAGTGCGGTAGGAAGGTGGATAAACGTCCCAAGAGGACAAATGTTCTCCATCCAAGAACACTAACCAGTGCGGTAAAACTACCAGTGCGGTGGGAAGGTGGATGAACGTCCCAAGAGGACAACTGTTCTCCATCCAAGAACACTAACCAGTGCGGTAAAACTGCCGGTGCGGTGGGAAGGTGGACGAACGTCCCAAGAGGACAAATGTTCTCCATCCAAGAACACTAACCAGTGCGGTGAAAAGCAGCCGGTGCGGTGGGAAGATGGACGAATGTCCCCAAGAGGATAAACCGTTCTCCATCTCGGAACACTAACCAGTGCGGTAAATCTGCCGGTGCAGTGGGAAGGTGGACGAATGTGCCCAAGAAGCTAAACCGTTCTGCATCTAGGAACACTAACCAGTGCAGTAAAGCTGCCGGTGCAGTGGGAAGATGGACGAACATGCCCAAGAGGTTAAACCGTTCTCCATCTCGGAACACCAACCAGTGCGGTAAAGCTACCGATGCGGTGGGAAGATGGACGAACGTCCCCAAGGGGATAAACTGTTCTCCATCTCGGAACACTAACTAGTGCGGTTAACTGTCGGTGCGGTGGGAAGGTGGATGAACGTCCCCAAAAAACTTTCTCCATCTCGGAACACTAACCAGTGCGGTACGGCCTCAGGACTTAAGTTGCCGGTGCGGTGGGAAAGTGAATGAATGTTCCCAAGAGGATGAACTCGTTCTCCATCAAAGAAAACTAACCAGTGCAATACGACCTTAGGGCTTAAGCTTCCGGTGCGGTGGGGAAATGGACGAACGAAACAAGGGGAACCAAGAAGCAGGAAACCCGTTCATATCCAAAGACTGGCGAGGAGCCAATGTAGAGGCCGAGTGTCTGGAGACAAGCATCTCCACTTCAGAGGTCGAGGGTCAGAGACAAGTATCTCCATTTCAGAGACCGAGGGTCCGGAGACAAGCATCTCCACTTCAGAGGCCGAGGGTCTGAAACAAGCATCTCCACTTCAAGGGCTGAGGTTCTAGGGAACGAACGTTCAATCCCTCACACACATGCCAACGAAGACGGAGGACGAGTGATGGAGTATATGGGCCCGGACTGTAACACCGTCCCCAAATGTATTTACCTTTAAGCGATTAATTTATTGAACCCTATGAAATTTTTGTGAATTTACGAGGTTGTGAATTTGTATAAAATTTTTCGCGTGAATAGTAAAATGCACGTGGGGCCCACATCGGGAGTGGGGACCGCCCGATATTATCGGGACCACCTATTAGATTCATCTGGGCCTAGAAAATATGTATATGGTGGTGGATATCCTAATTGGTCCATAGTAATGGCACAGGGTTGACCGGTTGGTCAAACAAGGCCAAATTATCGGTATCGGCAAATTTATCAGATAACAGCCCAAAAAGGGATTTCGGAGACTTCTAAATTGAGGTTGGGGAATGCATATTGATTATAGGGTCCCATAAGGATTGGGAACAAGTGTTATATTTTATTTGACCCGATAAAATAAAATATACTTAAAACAGTCCGGAAAATACAACTTTCGGGACCGATTGTACACTTCTGGACAAAAAGGGTTGACCTCCCACATGGGTGGGGGCCAACCCACGAATTTAGCCTCATTATTCAAGGACTGAGCAGGCTGGTAGGAGAGGTGAGGTGGGAGAGGACTGATTTGAGATATTTTGCATCAAAACAAATCATGGTGGCCCTCATCTCTTTCACTTATTGCCCAAAAGGAGACAAAGGGGCATTCCTACCCATCCCCCTCCTCACTAGTTCGGCCAGCAGCAAGGGAAAGGAGGAAAGAACCTCTACAACTTCATCTTTCATAGCAAAATTCGAGCTGAGCTCAAACAAGAAAGTTGGGAGGAAGTTAAACAAGGAAAAAGCTAGGAAAAAGTGTGAAAATTAAGGTAATGACCTTATCATAACTTTTCCTTTGTTTTTCTTCTAGCATATAAGATATATATCATATGAAAGACCTTTATTATTGTTATACATGATTTAAGTGTGGAATAATGGGTTGGAAAGTGATTCTAAGTCCAAAAACGGACTTAGAAGCCAAATCGACCGGTTTGCCGGAAAATAACCTTTTATAGGTTATTTGTGTTGATATGGGTTTTGTGATGATAAAACCTTGTTAGGAACTTGATTTAAAGTATTTTTGAGCTTCGCCGGAGTTTTGTCGGAGTTGGTCAAGTTCGCCGGAGTTGGTCAAAGTTCGCCGGAGTTGGTCAAAGTTCGCCGGAATTAGTCAAAGTTCAATCGAGAAGCATAGAACGCGCTTAAGTTTAATTAAGGTGAGGATGACCGACTATGTTACTTATAATCTTTGGGTTAATTTCATGGGATTTCCTAAGTGAATACAAATGTGATGTGCATAGGTTGTTAATGGTTATTAATGCCTAAATAAAATTAGTATTGATTTTAAGTATAGTATGCATGATACACAAATTTATGAATAAATTGTGTATGTTTAGATGTTATGATTATGTGTGTATGATGGTTGTACCAACCATGAATTTCATTTGAGATAGTATACTTGATACCATGAGGAGAAGCCATGAAGGTATGAAAGTGATACTTGATATTAAGGCAAATCATGCATGAAGGAAGAATTATATTGAAATAAATGAATAACTAGCATTGAAATATTAGTTGGAAATGTTAGTTGAGAAATGGATGAATTAGATCCTAAGAATGTGAATTATAAAGAATCGGTGATCATGAGCCGGGCTCGGGACCGATGTAGATCACGGTGATTATGAGCTGGGCTCTAGACCGTAGTAGATGACGGTGATTATGAGCTGGGCTCTAGACCGTAGTAGATGACGGTGATTATGAGCTGGGCTCTAGACCGTGGTAGATGACGGTGATTATGAGCGGGGCTCTAGACCGTAGTAGATAACGGTGATTATGAGCTGGGCTCTAGACCGTAGTAAGAAATGATGAATGGATACTAAATGGACGGATTAACTATAATGTAATAATGCTCTAGATTGAGGGCCTCAGAGATTTAAACTTCGATTATACTTAGTATAGTTGTCATTGTACTTGTCAAATGCTTCCAAGTACTGACCTCCCCTTCACGGGGGAAGCCACCTCACAGTTTCAGGTAGAACTTGAAGGTTGCTACCATCAGCCGCTGTTTCGGGAAGTTTCTGAGAAGAAGACTTGGTTCGTGCTTCTTCCGTTCTTGTTTTGAAAACAATATGAATAGTGCTCATGGATATTATTTTCTGAATATACATTTCGGGGGTTTGTATACCCATGTTTGCCAAGTGTGGCTTGTACACTTGTAATGTTGTTTCCGCTGTTTTAAATGAATGATTTACATTATGTTTGTTTATGGATGTACTATGTGTGAATGATATTCATGACGCCTTGTATAGTATGGATGAGTTGAACTGCGGTTGACTATTCGTACTGTGCGGCGGGTTGTTGACGTGTCCGGCTAGGTCCGGGGCGTGACACAGACCCCATGGCCCACATACTCGCAAGAACAAAAGGTACCACGATCGCCTGGTGGGACCCTCGTCGGCCAGATGACCTCCATCGGCTAGAAAGAAGTCTACTCAGAATACGGTCCAAGAGCCAGGAGAACCGGGTGACCTCGTCGGCCGGGTCTTCGTCGGCCATGCCCTCGTCGGCCGTGCCCTCATCGGCCACGAGCGGCCCCCCAGAATAGGATCTTCTACATAATTATTTCTACATCTCTTGTACTCAGCCCAATGGTTTTATCGTAAATGGGCCTCCCAAGCCCAAGACTTGGGAGCCCGGCCCTAATTTCCTCTATAAATACTCCCTTTGGGAGTCATGTAAAGGGTTCACAAATTCATTAATACAGAGCAAATATAGAACTTCTCTCTCTAACTCTCCCTTCTCTCTAGTCTTATAGTCTATCATTTGGTGCTTTCATTGAGAGCACCAAATGAACACAGAACCGATGAGAACACCTCGGCGTGGGAAGCTATTCCACATTGGCCGTATTGGCCGACAAAGCAATTACTCAGTTAGACACTTGGAAACTTCTTCAAGTGTGACGGTTAGAAAATTTTCCAAGGTATGAACAAGAAAAGAGGGGGGGGGGGGGGGGGGGGCGTAACGCCAAGACTTTGTGGATGCTCACTCATTTGAAGTCTTGGTACTTAGGAAAAATCCTAAAGTTCCTGTTAAGCGCAAGGGGTATTTCGCATAGACGAAGCGTACCCACCAAAGCTACCCACTTCGGCCAGAGCCAGGGAACAACCAAAAAACGACAGTTACCCGAGTCCCAATTTCAACACTTAGAAAAATTTCGGAAAACTTGAGAACAAAAGCAAAGAGAAAAACAAGTCGAGGAGGACACACAATAAAGCCGAAAACAATGGACATTTCATTCATATGGAAATTCATTACATCAGGGGGCTCGTCGGCCATTACAAAAAAAGGCATTACAAACATTTGCCTTACTAAACTACGTAAGTCAGTCGATCAACTCTCGGGGGCGGTTTCATCGGCCACTCGCTCCGCATCGGCTTTCTCGGATACAGCTCTGTTGCCCTCCTCCGTCCTTGCACCTCCACTCGCCTCGGCTGCTGAGGAGACGGCGGTGTCGGCTAAGGCGCCATCATCGGACCAATCAGGCTCACCGATGGAGGAACTAAGTACCGGATCCTGCCTCTCAGACGGGAGAGCTTCACCTCGGCCTCCGGATCTTTCATCAACCGTGGGAGCTTCAGATTCTTCTTAGCCCATTTCTGGGTGAGTTTCAACTTCTTGAAAGCTCGATGCAACCTCCGGTATATCAGCCGTTGCATCCTCTGCTGGCCCATGTCGTAGTAGACAGCCATTTCACGAGCAAAGTACTCCTGGCCAGCTGGGCAGTTCTGGCCCCAGTCTTCAAGCCGGTCCGCCACAACTTCATAGCACCAGGGCCGGCGGTCCTCGGCCTTCCAGCCTTCGGACAGGAACCTCTCGATAGCGCCATCAACGGCCTTCTCAGCAGCCCTCTCAGAGTCATTCTGAGCCCGCGCGGCATCCTCGGCCCGAAGCAGGGCCTCATCACGGCTTCTCGGGGCCTCATCCCTTGCCCTCAAAGCGTCATCCCTATCGGCCGCCACCTGCCGGTAGGCCACATCGGCCTCATCAACACCCTTTTGCAGGGCCTTTACCTCCCCCCGGAGCCGATCTAGGCAGGCCATGGCCTCCTCGGCCGAGGCAGCATTTTTCTCGGCTTCCTTCAGGCGGGGGCAATCTCTTGCTCTTGCCGCTTGTGGCTCTCCATCAGCATAAGAACACCCTGCAAAAAAGGAAAAAAGAAGAGTTAGGACGAAGCAAAACTCGTGACACAAAAAGATGTAAAGTACGAAGAACTTACTTGGACAATGAGGTCCATCCCGCCATCATAGATCCTGATGGGACCCAGCTTCTTCAAGTAAGCCCGATCCTCGACCGGGATAGCTTGGGCCAGAACATCATGACCGTCAACGGCGTCGTTGAAGACGCCACCCTTCACGGGGTACTCGACTTCGAGTTTGTAGGTCCCGACGGCCAGCTCCTTGCCGGCCCTTTGTCTACGGGGCTCCTGGCCGACAGGCGGCGGCTGGGGATAGAGCCGTTGAAGAGGGAACCGAAACCGCATCTACAACGGCAACGGCATTTGAGCCCCCGACATCCTCATCTGGTACGGTCAGACCACCGGCACCAGCATCGGCCAGAGGGGAATCCCTCTTCGGCTTCTTGGACTGCATACCGGCCTCAGTGAGCTTCCTCTGGCCGTCATCTGCAGGCTGTTTCTTCTTCGGCTGCGTAGGTGGTTTCTTCACTGCGTCAGAGCTCGACTGGGCGCCACTCGCAGCGGCCATCTTTGCGGCCTCTTTTGCGGCCATCTCCTCCTTCGCCTTAGCTTTGGCTAGGGCCATGACGGATCTGCGATCCATAGTGAAGTCTGCACAACGAGAAAAATAGTTAGCAAAAACAAAAAATAAATACGGACGAAGATGTCAGGGAGGGTATTACCATCGGCGTCAGCAGGAACGCCCATATCCGGGCCATCGGCCTCCTCAAAGGTAGTGGTCATCTTCGGCCACAACTCGGTGTCACTTTCCTTATCACCATAAACGAAGTACCGGAAGAAGCCGAGGGCGGTCAACTTGTACTTCGTTATGTACTCTTTTACGCTCCTCGACCCTCCTTTCAGAAATGCAGCCACCTGAGCATCCAAGATGCTGCTCCTCGGCACCTCATGGAGGTTGAATCTACCGTCATGGCCGACGGAGGGAAACTCAGTACCGCCCTCCCCCAAAGAAACAAAGACGAACTTACCCTTCAACCCATGAATGGACGTAGAAAGATCAGTAAAGGACCTCTTCTTTGGCAGCTGTTGGAGATTAGCATAACCGGCACATTTTTTGTGGCTCCCTCGGCCGATCTGGTACAGGTTCATGAACAGAGCTGTCGTCGGCCTAAAATCTAACTCATCACAGCGGAGGAGGAAGTCGATGATGAGTGAGTAGCTGTTTGGGGTCAACAGAGCCGGAGGGAGACCTACCATATCCAGATACTCCGTAATAAACGGGTGGAGGGGAAACCTAAGTCCCTTTGCAAAACTCATGTGGTATACTCCAAAATACCCCGGAGGTGGATTCAACACATGATCCGTCGGCCTGGGCACCCTAACCCTCCCATACGGCCCCACGTACATCTGGGCCACCTGGTAATCGGCTGCGCTGCTCTCCGGCTTGATCAAATAGGTAGGAGAAGCCTGGACCCCTCTTCGGTCGACGCCTTCTCGCCGGGGGAGATCCCTTTACAGCAGAAACCTGTTTCGGGCAAGGGATTGCAGCCGATGTAGACGCTTCGCCCACGGCACAAGAAGCCACTACGTCCTCACCATCAGATGACGAGGCGGCCTCTTCGTCCTCACCTTCACTCCCCTCTTGCTCCCCTGATTTGAAGGAGCTCAGCTCCTCTATCTCCTCACAGCACTCCTCTACTACCCGGTAATCAAGAGATTTAGCAGAGGGCTCATCGTCATATGGGTAGTACTCGTTGTCCAAGGGTTTCATCATAACAACTAACTAAAGCCTAAGGGTTTTTACTTTGGATCTAAGGATGTTCCTCCACTAACAGCGGATCAAAAGCTAAAATAAGCAAAGTACACAAGTAATTTGGGAAAAGTTCGACGAACTGACCTTTGAAGTTTTGAAGAACGGAAGAACACACGGAAAGGCTCTCTCTCTCTCTAGAAAATTTGGCAGCACTTCGTTATCTCAGGAATGCAATGAGGAACCTCTTCGGAGGGGGGGGGGGTATTTATAGACCTCCCCCAACGGTCACTACACGTGGTAACCTCCCACTGGCCACGTGAACGGCCACCACCCCTAAGGCCCATAGGGCTGGCACCGGTTCAGAAGACGGGTCAGGCCCACTTCCACAATACCAGCTCATCGCCAACAGGCCAACCACTCAACGGCCACACTAAGAAATCGTGCCTACATCGGCCTCAACACAAACATAACTTCAAAGGGGTAGGTCACATCTCAAGGTGTGTTCATATCGGCTTGAACAGAATGCCAAGTGCATGGCCTTTTCAACGGCCACAACGGTGAAAGCAAAAAGAAACCCCACGCCGTCGGCCTTGTGTAAAACCTTGATGATAATTTCTTGAAAGCGACCTGCGTACAAGGGTTCTCCCACAGGGTTACCTTGGTCAGGAAATCACCAAGGAATTGGATTCAGGGGAATACAAGAGCCCGCTTCGGCCAGGGCAAATCCTTTACTCCTTCACCCCTCACCTACTCTTCGGTCTGAAGCAGTGGGGGACTGGGGGACTGCACTGGCCTTTGAAAGTCAGGACAAAATCAAACCCAAAAATAAACCAAGTCCACAACTACACCATCAGGTCACATATGCGCCACAACGTCCATAACCTTGTCGTGCACCATCGGCCGCGGAAAAGTAGCGAACAAAGAATTCCCTCCAAGTGCAACACTTGGGATCACACGGCACTTACCGGCTTTGAGACCACATACTCCACTCTCGCCCAGAAATAAAAGAACATGAACTCAACGTTCCTGAATCACCATCGTCCATAAGATCAGGATACGCAACACTCCTCCCAGATCAGTACCGCTATCGTCCTCAAAAACTTGGACACCAAGCTACGAATACCACCACTCCTCGGCCAAAGGCCCTGAATGAGAGCCTCAGCGGCCAAACAAGGCAAACAACACCCTCACCGGCCACCCGGAAACAAAAGGACACCCATCATCCTCGAACAGGAGATAACCACTAGGGCCTCCTCGGCCCAAAGCGCGAAATTCCGCCATCAACTGTCAGGAATAGGCATGACCTTCATCGGCACTCATGATAGAGGACGCTCATCGTCCCTACCAAGCAAAGACACTCGACGTCCTTAAAAATAGAAAATACACATCATGACTGGGTCCCTCATTGTCTACAGCGAAAGCCACACAGCGGCCAGAACGTTGAGTACCCACGGCAGCCAAAAGACAAGGAGCCAGGTCAAGGGGTGCCCACAATGGCTAAAAACAAGGAAGAATCCCTTAACGGCCAGAAAACGCCAAAACTATGGAATCTACTCTCCCTCACTTCGTCTACATCTCAGCTTAGAGAGTGGGGGACTCCTGATGGAGTATATGGGCCCGGACCCCATGGCTCACATACTCAGAAGAACAGAAGGTACCACGATCGCCTGGTGGGACCCTCGTCGGCCAGATGACCTCCATCGGCCAAAAAGAAGTCTACTCAGAATACGGTCCAGGAGCCAGGAGAACCGGGTGACCTCGTTGGCCGGGTCTTCGTCGGCCATGCCCTCGTCGGCCGTGCCCTCATCGGCCACGAGCAGCCCCCCAGAATAGGATCTTCTACTTAATTATTTCTACATCTCTTGTACTCAGCCCAATAGTGGCCCTATTGTAAATGGGCCTCCCAAGCCCAAGACTTGGGAGCCCGGCCCTAATTTCCTCTATAAATACTCCCCTTGGGAGACATGTAAAGGGTTCACAAATTCATTAATACAGAGCAAATATAGAACTTCTCTCTCTAGCTCTCCCTTCACTCTAGGCTTATAGTCTATCAACGAGTGTGGGCATGAGTATACTTTCTGGAGCAGATTCGCGAAACTCTTGGGTTAATCACCCTACGAACGTACCCAAAGACAAGCAACAGAGAATATCCCTTTTAGAAGACGTACGTCCTAGAAGGCTATGGAGATTCAGCAAATAAGGCAAGACGTTCGGAGGTCCGGAATGCAGCAGGCAACCATCGCGTCAGGAGCGTCGCTATCATCTCCGAAATTCATGGCAGATCGGAGTATACTCTTTTTCCTCCGTTAGGATTTTTTCCCACCGGGTTTTTTTCTCAGCGGAGTTTTTAATGAGGTACCCCTCTGCCTATGACTTGGGAGGCATCAAGGGTATTGGTTGGAGACGTACATCGGATTCAAATCTACTTCCTTATGTCCCGCGCAAGCTCGGAACATCAGAAGTGGGGGACTTGTGTTGAGTTAATGGCCCAATGAGGGTTGGCCCGTAAACCACGTACTCAACGGGGATGAACGTCCCCCGAAGGCCAAAGGTAGTGGGATACCCCTCCCCATCATCCAGAGGACGTACGTAGCCAAAGGCAGATGCCTTGGTCCAAGTACAGAACGGGACGTACGTCCCCAGAAGCAACACCAAGGCTAAGGGGATGTACGTATCCTAACGTCAGCAGGTACCTTGGCCCAGGATCAATACCAAGGCTAAGTGGACGTATGTATCCTATCGTTAGCATGTACCTTGGCCCAGGAGCAGCACGAGACGCACGTCCCACAGGACTTTGGACCCAGCAGGAAAGAAGAGGCAAGTGCAATGGGAGGAACGTCCCCACCCCTTGGAGGGAAACCAAGATCCTGGCGGGAAACGCATTTAATGCAGAAGATTTGGTGGTTAGGATCGAGCCGTCCACTGCCAGCCACGTCAACACATTCAACCACCCATTGGCAGTATAAATAGATACATTTATTTTACTGTGGGGGGGGGGGGGGGGGGGGGCAACTAAGCACTCTAATAGTATAGCATTGTAACAGCTCGTAGCATAGGCTAGGGACGAACGACCCAGGCCGTTGTACCGAAATTAATGTACTAAAACTCTTTATTGGGCCTTTCCTTGCTTGTTTCTTCATCTTTTCTTCTTACCCTTCCATTCGAAACCCTTAGGACACGTGTTGGACCTACGGGTTGAAGGATTAAACCTCAACAGTTGTTATGTACATATAAACTAAGTATATTACATTATGTAAGACTATACTAATTTTCAAAACTAAAAATTAAAGGGGGCGATGAACAGACACATCTAATTAAAGTATAGACATTTTATTAAAACATTTGACGGAGTATTTATAATAGAAAAATTTGAAAGTCCGTGACTAAATCCATCCTGGCTGCGGACATGGGAGAGAGCTTTGGGGCTATCGACGCAAAAGAGAAGGAGTCGGAAGAAAAGATGGATGAATTTAGGATTTAATATATTAGGGGTAAAACGGTAATAAGAGTCCCATTTTTTTGAGAAAATAATAAGAGTCGTCTTATTTAGAAAATATAAAACATTTGATGGATAGTGTACCCGGGGGTAGCTTATCCGAAAGGTTATTACGGCAAATAACTTAGAGAGAAGTCAGAGCAATAAGTAAGAGAGAGAGAGTCAGATATATTAATCGATTCTGATGAGGGATCCTTTACAAGAGGAGTAAGGGCTGCTATTTATAGCAGTCATAAATGTTGGGCGGGGACACGTGTCAAACATCTGACGGTCGAGGGCCACCTCAATCGGGGTGGCACCAACATTTGCATGTGCACCGCATTAAATGTGGTGGTTGGACGTGCCACCGCATTAAATGCGTTGGTTGCCTGTCTCTAAAAAGAATATTCATCGAGTCTGCTATATACCGAAGGCATACGTGTAGCCGAAGGCTAACATTTTAGCCAGAAATTTCCAGAAGCTTTGCAGGTCCATATCAAGTTGTCTCCTAGAATTTGAAGCCCTCGGCCATAGGGCCGAAGGCATACACATGTGCATTGTGGGCTTCTTCATGCTTGGACCGATACGTTTGAGCTTTGTGTGCCCATCGGACTTGATGGACGTGCATAGGAGAAGTAGGAGTCTATAGCCTAAGGGTTCCTGGACCATATACTCCATCAAAATTAACTCCTAACTCACAATTTTGATCATGTTTTAAAGATGATATTCCTAATGATATTAATATAAGCTATTTGGTTTGAGGACAAAAACATTTTACTTGGTTTTCTGTGCGGACCCTAGGAGTCTGCTAATTCAGTAATTTGTTACACCTTACTTTGGATTTGTTGTGTATTGTGAGTTTAGCTCTTCATTTCGTCTTCCCCCCAGACTGTCACTTACTTACTCTACTCGGCGGTTGATATGGTGTATAGGTTTTAAGGTTGTTTTCTCTCCCTTCTCTCCGTTAATCCACTCTGAGCTGCCATGGATAGATACCAGAAGGTCGAAAAACCGAAACCAGAGTCTCGCATAAACGAAAACGAGATTCGAATCACTTCTCAGGGCTTGATCCGGAACTACATTAACTATGCTACCACTCTTCTTCAGGTAGCGTCCCTAGTTTATCATTCCGCCGGGGAATATTGCGTACTTTTACTGATTTTCTCGTGTTTTATTGTGTTTGATGCGACGCTTAGGTTCTCCGTTCACGCTTTGTTGCATATTTATAGTCTGCTTTTGCGAACGATTTTACTACAGAAATTGCCAAGTGGTTGTTGGCATATTCATTTCTGATGCCTTTGGTTGGTGTGTCACTCTGCAGATTAATAAATGATAATGTGAATGGGTTAGTGTTTTTTAGTGACGTGTATAGTATTATAGTCATATCTGTAGCAGTTCTTTCAGAATGAAGCTGATATTATTCTCATTTAAACACATTTATCATTAATTTGATCTATTTTTATAGCCTATATCTGTACATGTCCCCAACTTCATCCCACTTTTCTTCCCATAGTAGGCTATAACATGTTAAATGAAGGGCATGTTGCATGCTGCAATAGACCTTAATATATGGCTCACTCAAATTCTTGACTACTCCACATGAGAAAGCCTATACTGTCTCAAATTGGTTTGTATTTGATCGCGTGCCAATTGTGACAAATTTTATCAACATGCATCCTTTGTAGTTATGATTCATTTCTATTTGATAATATTATGACAGTTCTACAACTATCATAATATTATGACAGATGTACAACTAGCTCGGTGCTTAAGATAGTTTGGATCTGTTTTTCCATGGTATATGTTTGTTTCAATTGACACTTTACTTCTACACGAATATAAGGATCTTATAAAATAGTTGAATGGCATTGCAGCCTTTTTTCATGGTACTTCTTAAGGGTGCTGATGGGTTGTTATATTATTTATTCCCATATAATCCGGAAAGGACATCTTAGTTCTTACGTATAATTTTAGTTAAATCGGATGGTTTAGGAGAGACATGGGGAAGATATTGTCCTGAAAGCAATGGGTCAGGCAATCAGCAAGTCAGTACTTGTTGCAGAAATTATCAAGGTGATTTATTTCTTACCTGAGATAATCTCTTAGGGACTCTTACTCTATCTATCTTACCTGCTTTGTTCATTCCTTTCATTTATATTATCACATCCTTGTTTCGTGATATATATTCTTGTTGAGTTACAGAGAAGATTTCCTAGATTTCACCAGGATACTGCCATCAGCTCTGTAAGCATAACAGATGTTTGGGAACCCATTGAAGAGGGGCTTGAGATGTGAGTTTGATTATGGCCATTTCACATGTTCTGGAGCTGAAATCCGTATTTCAGATGTTTTCAATCTTTGAAACCATTATGGGTAATGCTTATTACAGTGTGGAGCAGACTCGCAATGTTTCCATGGTTTCGATCACCTTATCAAGTAAAGAACTAAACAAGAACTCTCCCGGGTAATTTTCTTCGTATTAACAAAGACTTTATAACTGGATCCATATTTTTAATCGTCTTGAACATGTTTTTGTATTTTACATTTTAAACTTAAGATTCATCTTGTGAATCAACTTCTAATATTTTTCTAAGTTAAAATTTGTTTGCTTTCTCAATGTGTTATTATTTGATTACTATAAAGTTTCTCTGTAGCAATGGTTTAACATTTCACAAGCTTCGTAATATGTAATTCGGCATGGTTAGACTTCCCTGGAAATTGACTGTTTTGTGATGGCTACTCTTTCAGTGGGGCCTGACTGATTATTTATTCCATCAGGTATCAATCCCCATCTCATGCTGCTGATAATCGGAAACGTTATAATAACTACCAGCCACAGCTACCACCTAGACAGTCACGCCCTGCTTATGGTAGTCGTGGTAATGAAGGTGATGATGGAGTAGATCAGAATGTTAAGAAAAAATAAATTGAAACTTTGAAATAGTCAAACCAGTGCAGATTGTAATTGTTTGCTCTTTTCAGATTTTTATGATCGAGGAAGAGGTAGTGATAGGAGAGGAAGGGGTTGGAACGGACGTGGTGGATATGGAAACTATCAGGGGAACTACTATAATGGAAACCATCAGGGGAACTACTATAATGGAAACTATCAAGGGAAGTATCAAGAGAACTATCATGGGAGCTACCATAGAAATTATCAAGGTATTCATATTTTGTTTATGTGATCAATAAATATTAATCTGTACTTATTATTATGTACGATTGATTTTATATTTAAACTTTTTCATTGCTGTCGTGGTATGCTGAAAATGAAGGGTACTCAAACTGGGGACGAGATGGTGGTCGCAGTGGTTGGGGTTACCGTGGTTAGTTTACTTTTTGTTTTGTATTTCATGATTTTCTCAAACTAGCTGTGCATCATTATCAGCCTCTCAAGGGTATCTTTGGATCACATAAACGGTAGGGAAAATAAAAGATATGTTAAGGAAACTAGGAAAGTCAGTGTTCAGTTTTACATCAGAAAATGTGAAAGAAAATATGAAACTTCTAAATATGTTTAGATTTCATCTCTGTATACTATAAATAGTTATAATGAGTGAACAAACATAAAGTATGACCTAAACAATTTGAAAAAAATGTTTTATTTTCTTTACAGTTTTTATCCGTAAAAAAATCTCCCTTTAGTTTTCTTCTCTATTTTATTTCCATGGCATGTCCTGAGTTCCAAATGGACCCTTAGTGTCTTAGACTCTTAAGTATTGGAAATGATATACTTCATATTTGTTTGATGGCATTGGGAATGTATAAATAAGTAGTGATGTACATGGTGTTTGCATTCATTTGAATAGGGTCAGGAGGATATGCAGGCAGCGGTAGGGGCGGAGGTGGTAGGGGCTATGGTCGTGGAAGGATGGGCAACCACGGTCCTTCAAGAGGAGGTGGTGAGTATCATGACTACTAGGTTTGCCTGGGTTGTCATGATTTTTTGGGGTGGCGTCACTTATCTACTGAACTGCTAGACGATTTTTATTAGCACCCAAAAAGTCTTGTTTCAGTGCATTGCATTTTATGAAGCCATGAAATTCCAAGTGTAGCTAATTTTTGTCTGTCTTCATTTAATGCACCACTCTTACAAGTGTGTATATAATGGGTCAGCTGCTCGTTGCTCATGTTACATATTAGTTGTTCCAAATTGTACTCTGATTTCCTAGTTCCTCTGTTTTTATTATTTATTCTGTACTTTTTTGGAAAGTTTTTTTTTATAATTTGCTTTATCTTTTGACATTTTTTCTGTCCTTGATGATTTTCCATTCCCTACTTCTTTCATACTCCGTATCTTTTTTCTTTTTCCTGGTTTGTCTACTCCTTTCTTTTCTACCTTTTCATCTACTTCTTTTATACAGAGTACTATTCAGTCTCTATGACTTCCTTTTTGTAACAGAAAAGGACCAAATAAGGCCTTGTACTATTATGAAATAATCACATAAGACAATGTACTTAATAAAGTGTCATATAAGTACATCTACTTATAAAAAGCAATCAAATGAGTCATAATGACCTATTTAACACCTCTTAATCCCGTTTTCAAGGTACTTCTGACCATCTTTTTAGAATACATTATACGGTAGATGTTGAATATTTAACTAAGATTTGTTAAAATACAAGTAAAAAAAATCGACATGTAAGCTAAAATCGGGATTAGGAAGTGTTAAATAAGCTGTTAGGACTCATTTGATTGCTTTATACAAGTAGAGGTACTTATATGACATTTTATTGAGTATATGGGCCTTATGTGACCATTTCGTAATAGTAGAAGACCTTATTTGACCCTTTTCTCGTTTTGTAATCCCTGTAGTACTTTGGCAAGACACGTGAGGGTCCATGTCCTTTGATGAAAGAACAGCTTACTCTACTCCCACACCCTCAATCTGAGTTCTCCTATTGTGTTGCAATATGCGAAAAAAACCTATTCCTTTATTGGTGATCTGCCTTGCTCCAACTTTGATATGATCACACAGAAAGTTAGTAATTGTGCAATGCCTGATTGTACTTTTGGGGCTTGCAACCTCTTGGGGCTTACAACCTTTTGGGGCTTTGGGCTAAGGCGCACACAATTGTACTTTTGGGCAAGGTTTGAAATTGCGTATTGAATAGTCGTTAGGCATGGACCGGGCCCGGACCGGGCTTCGGGACAGGTCGGGATGGGACTGGGTTTTAGGGATGAGGGCCTGGTACCGGCCCGCGTTGGTACCAAAACTGGGTCGGGCTACCTAGTCGGGTCTCAGGTCGGGCTGTGTTGTGCTACCTGGCCGGTTCTCGAGTTGGGCCAAGCTGGGTTGAGCTTTTTTTTGATAATTTAGTTTAAAATTAATTCAACAAATGCTAAACAATAAAAAGTTAAAGTATATTTATTTCAAATATGAACTACAATTGAAAATTGGGTAGAATTTAAAACAATAAATACATTTCCTAAAAATCAGTCAGAATCTCTGCCACCGTCGGTTGTTGTTTCCTCCATGAAGTGGCGGATTGGGGTGATGCTAACTTTTTGAGTTCTACGTTGGGCCTTCAACCAATTGTGGAAGCACACAAGTGTCTCAAGAGATTTTGCGCTCAATCTCGTTCTATAATCCATTAAGAATTTAGGATGTTGTCGGGTGCACTAAATTCTTGTTCCACGACAACTGTTGATACCGACATTGCTAGCAGTTGCTTAGCCATTTTTTATAAAATCAGGAATGTTCTTTCTTTGTCCTTTCACCACGGCAGAACGTCAAAGTCATCCCCGTCTTCGTTGTCAACAAGAAACTTTAGATATAAAGAAAGCTTGTTTATCGAGCTTTGTGCAACAACGGGAGTTGATTTACTTTTTTCATAAGATTGCCAAATGTAGATTTCAAAAATGATTTTCCTTTAGATTAAAAAGATGTTCGTGTCGGGGGAGAGGGTGTGTTACCATATTATGCATGAAACTCATTATATAATTGATGAAATAAGTTACTAAACTTGTTGTATTGCTCTTTAGGATCTATGAGCTTATCTTCCTACATAGGAAATGAACCAAAAAAGGAAGCATAATAGTACTTAAACAACTTTGAAAAGCATTAAATTTGAAATGAGGATCAAGAATAAATGCAATATCATATATATGCGGAATATGTGAATAATATTTTAAAAACTTTTCTTTCATATGAAAGAACAAAAATGATGAACGTAAGGGGCATCGGAAAATTCACAAAAAGCATCGGTGAGATTAACAACTTCAACATAAAATTGGGTTGCGGACTTGCGGTAGGTTTAATCAAACAAGTGTATTAAAATTACCTAAAATTCCAACTAGTTTAATGGTTTAATTAACTAAAATTTCAATTAGTTTAATAGTTTAATGTAACAATTGTATTAAAATTAACTAAAAATGCAACTACTTTTATATTTTAATTAACTAAAATTCCAACTACTTTTATATTTTAATCTAACAAGTGCAGTAAAATTAACCAAAAATGCAGCTACTTTTATATTTTAATCTAACAAGTGTAGTATGATTAATATTAGTATTAGTATGTGACTAATATGATAATGTGACAAGTATAATAAAATCAACTAAAAATGCAATTAATATTAGTATGTCACAAATGAGAAAGTAACAAATATTAAAGGTGACCAAATGAGAAATGTAATCATTAACTAATTAACTAATACTAATGACAAATGTAACAGGAAAATGTATGGATTATACTAATTAATGGGAGTGTGAGTGTGTAAGTAATAGGATAAATTTAACTAATATTAATGAAAGTGTAACTAATATATAATATAATGTTTATAGTATATAATAGATAAGTATACTACTATAAGATGAGTAGTACACCTATATTTAATACTTTAATATATACCACATATATACTTAATATATTAATTATATATAATATATGTAAATATAAGTAGATATTAAGTAGATAATAAGTATATATTAAGTAGATAATAAATATAAGTAGATATAATATATGTATTTATAAGTAGATATAATAATTGTATAACTAATATATAATATAATGTTTATAGTATAATATATATATATATATATATATATATATATATATATATATATATATATATATATATATATATATATATATATATAAGTATACTACTATAAGATGAGTAGTACACTTAGATTTAATACTTTAATATATATACTTAATATATTAATTAGATGTAATATGTAAATATAAGTAAATAACAAGTACTCCCTTCGTCCCATAAAATTCTTCTCACTTTCCTTTTTGGGTCGTCCCAAAAAATTCTTCCCACTTACAATTTTTGGACAATCTGTGTGATTCACATTCATTTAACCTTTTTTTACACAACCACAACCATACATTTCCACTTTCTTGATCTCCGTGTCAGGTCAAAGTGGGAAGAATTTTATGGGACGGAGGTAGTATATAATAAGTACAACGTACGTATATATTAAGTAGATAATAAATATAAGTAGATATAAATTATATAATATATGTATTTATAAGTAGATAATAAATATATAAGTAAATAATAAATATAAGTAGATATAATATATATAGCCGTTAGGCCCGGACCGGCCAGCCTATTTGAAGACCCGTAGCCCGATGCCCCTTTACCAGGTTCGGCCCCCCAGTCCCGGTACTGCCCGCTCGGGCCGGGTCGGGCCTGAATAGTACCGGGCCGGGTCTCAGCCCGACCCGTCCCAATCCATGCCCAATAGTCGTAGTGTTTTTTAAAATTGAATACTAAGTAGTTAAATTTGCTACTCGGTAGCAACTCAATCAAGGGTCGAGCCACCGAGTAGCGAGTAGGACTGAGTACTTGAGATTACTCGATGATTACTCGCTCGTGTATGAGTTAACTTTAAAAATATAGGTGCTCAAAATTATAGTGATATCTTACTGTGATAGTTTTTAGATTATGGATACTAACCGAGAGATGATAATACTAGGGAAGAAGAAACAAGAAGATAGAACTAGGGAGGAGAATAACTTACCGAGAGATAAGGAGTAAGTGAGTAACTATTGGAATCAGTCTGAGATCGGCAGGCTCAGCGACGATGAGGACTTTGAAGAGCCTCCGCCAAAGAAGAACCATATTCACCTCATCGTAGGTGGGAATACCGGGGGGGACTCCGTCACCCAGAGGAAGAAATGGGCCCAATCCCTTTACATTGGGGAGGTGTCCCACGTTCTCCCCAGCCGAAGAAGCAGTGAACGGAGGCGATCACCTTCACCGACAAAGATCTGCCTCTGGGTATGGAATCACACAGGGACGCCCTCGTCATCCGGTGTGAGATCGGTGACTCCATCATCCATCGCACTTACATCGATACGGGGAGCTCCGTTAACGTGATGTACCTGGACACCTTCAGGCAGCTGAAGCTGGACAAAGCTCTACTGAAGCCGATCAAGACACCGTTGTCCGGCTTCACCGGGGACTCTATCGACGCCGAGGGCACGATAGTCCTCCCCGTGGAGGTCGGCGACGGCCCCCACCACGCCAAAATTGACATGGAGTTCATGGTGGTCAACCTCCAGTGCGCCCACAACCTGATCTTGGGGCGGCCAGCACTGGAGGACTTGAAGGCCATCATCTCCATGAAACACTTATGTCTGAAGTTCCCCACCAATGACGGCATCGGCTACGCCAGAGGAAACCAGAGGATATCCAGAGCATGCTACCTCAAGCTAACAAGGCCGGCCGAGAGGGAAGGACAGAGGATAGACACCATCATGGCCACCGTTGCCAAGGATGAGGAAAGACCGCATGCCGAACCGGTCGAGGAGGTCGAGGAGGTCCCCCTGGATACCTCCCGGCCGGAACGGGTCCTCAAAATCGGGAAGCAACTCCCACAGGACCATCGAGACGCCATCCTCCTCGTCCTACGGTTATACGCCGTTATCTTCGCGTGGGGCCCGGACGACATGCCAGGCATCAGCCGGTAGGTGATCACCCACCGGCTGACCGTCGATCCAGCCTCCGCGCCTGTCAAGCAGAAGCGGCGCTACTTATCCGCCGACAGGCGAGACTTCGTCAAAGGGGAGGTCGCCATGCTCCTCTCAATCAACCATATCAAGGAAGTGAAGTACCCGACGTGGCTAGCCAACGTCGTCCTCGCCCAGAAACCGCCGACATTCAGGATGTGTGTTGATTACACTGACCTGAACAAGGCGTGCCCCATGGACCCGTTCCCTCTCCCCAACATTGATCAGTTGGTGGATGAGACGACGGGATGCGAGTTGATGTCGTTCCTTGATGCTTTCAGAGGGTACCACCAAATTTTCATACATGAAGATGACGCTGAGAAAACGGCATTCATGATCCCGGAGGGAATTGTTTGCTACCTCGTCATGGCTTTCGGACTCAAAAACTTCGGCGCCACCTATACCAGGATGGTGGCCAAGATCTTTAGAGCAGTCCTCGGCCGGACGATGGAGGCATACGTCGACGACATGATTGTCAAGAGCAGGAAAGCCACCACACACGCTGACGACCTCCGGGAAATTTTTGAAATCATGAAGTAGTTCAAGCTCCGCCTCAACCCCAAGAAGTGCGCCTTTGGCGTCCAAGGCGGCAAGTTCCTCGGCTACATGGTCAGCCGGAGAGGTATCGAGATAAATCCAGAGAAGACACAGACTATCATCAACATGGAGCCGCCCCGCAACGTCAAGAAGGTACAGCGGCTGACGGGGCGCCTGGCGGCCCTGAGCCGTTTCCTCTCCAAGTCAGCCGAGAGGGCACTCCCTTTCTTCCAAATCATGCGCAAAGCAAGCAGCTTCAAATGGACGACAGAGTACCAGGAAGCATTTGAAGAACTGAAGAGGTACCTTTCGTCCCCACCAGTGCTCTCCAAGCCCAAAGCCGGCGAAACCCTCTTCTTGTACTTAGGGGTGAGAACGTCGGCCAACAGCTCCGTGCTCATCCGTGAGGACGAAGGGGTGCAGAAGACCATTTTCTACATCAGCAAAACACTTAGGGAGGCCGAGCTCAGGTACTCCCCCATTGAGAAGACGGTGCTAGCCATCGTCCATACGGTGAAAAAGCTGGGGCACTACTTCCAGGCCCATGCCGTCCATGTACTGACCCAGCAGCCCCTTGGCGCACTCATGAGGAGCCCCACTAGCTCCTCAAGGATGGTGAAATGGGCGATCTTCCTCAGCCAATTTCAGATTGAGATCAAGCCAAGGCCATCCATCAATGGGCGAGCCTTGGCCTACTTCGTCACCGAATGCACGGCAAGGGAGACAACCACTACCACCCCCGGGCCAGAGCCTGATGACACATGGATCCTCTTCACTGACGGCTCGTCGGCCGCGAAATCATGCGGCGGCGGCGGCGTCCTCATATCCCCTGAAGGATTCAGAGCTTACTATGCCATCCGCTTCAACTTCAGGGTATCCAACAATGAAGCCGAGTATGAGGCCCTCCTCAGCGGCCTCAGACTTGTCGCTGGCCTCAGAGCCAGGCACATCAGAATCAAGTGCGACTCCAAGCTGGTAGTGGGCCAGGTTGAGGGTACGTACGAAGCAAAGGAAGGCCGGATGAAGCAATACAAACAGGCGGCAGAGGAGTTGCTGAAGGCGTTCGAAACCCACGAGATCACACAGATCCCAAGGGCCGAGAACGCCGAGGCCGACATCCTCTCCAAACTCAGCTCGGACACTCCGGAGCACATCTCCCAGTTAGCCAAGATCGAGGAGCTGAGCATGTCCAGCATCCATGCCAGCCCCATCTTGTGCATCCAACAACGACCGGAGGACTGGATCTCCGACATCACCACCTTTATCACGACGGGGGAGCTACCCCAGGACGAGGAGAGGGCCAAGCTCGCCAAACTCAGGGCCCCAAGCTACACCATTGAAGATGACAAACTCTACAAACGATCCTATAATGGTACTCTCCTCCGATGCCTACACCAAGACGAGGCCGAGGTGGCCATGGAAGAAGTTCACTGCGGTGTTTGCTCCTCACACCAGGGCCCCTTCAGTATGTCCCGTCGTCTCGTCGTCCAGGGCTTTTTCTGGCCGACGATGGCGCGGGATTGTGCGGATCTAGCAAGGAAATGCACCACGTGCCAGGTGCTCCAGAAGGCCCCTGGTCGGCTAGCCGTCAACTACGCCCCCGTCAGCACTGCAATTCCCTTTTGGAGATGGGGAATTGACCTGGTCGGCCCTCTACCCAGAGCTGCTGGTAACAACCGCTACATCATCGTCGCAGTCGACTACTTCACCAAGTGGGTCGAAGCGGAACCTTTGGCCAGCATCACGGGGGCCAGGTGCCAGAAATTCGTCCACAAGAACATTCTCACCCGTTTTGGTGTCCCCCAAGAGATCATATCCGACAATGGCACCCAGTTCGAAGCGGCGCGCTTCCAAGAGCTCCTCCGAGAATGGGGGATAAAGCACCGTTTCTCCTCCATTGCCTACCCTCAAGGCAACGGGCAGGTTGAGAACGCCAACAGAACCATAATGGAGGGACTGAAGAAGAACCTACAAGACGCACGAGGAAGTTGGGCCGACGAGCTCCCCAACATCCTATGGTGCTATCGTACTACGGCAAGGAGGGCAATGGGTGAAACATCTTCTGCCTTGTGCTATGGCTTTGAAGCAAAGGCACCCACAGAGGTCACCATTCCCAGCCGACGGGTGGAGCAGTATGACCCAGAGGTCAACGAGGAAAACATGAAAATCGACCTCCACCTGGTCGATGAAAGACGTGAACAGACATTCATCCGAGCAGAGAACTACCGGCGTCAAGTGAAATCGTACTATGACGCCAAGGTACGTTCCCGAGAATTCCAAGTGGGGGACTACGTCCTCCGCCGAAGGGAAGCAAGTCAACCGACGGAAGGAGGCAAGCTAGCCTTGAAGTATGAAGGTCCCTACATCGTCAGTGCCATGGTGAAACCCGGCACCTACAAGCTTAAACGCCTAAACGGGACCAATGTACCACGAACGTGGAATGTACACCATTTGGTAAAGTTTTATCAATAATCCGAAGGAGGTGAAGCCGGCGAAGCCCTCACCCTTTGACGGGTTATTGATTGAACACCACCCTCGGCCTTGAGCCACTTTTGAATAAAGATCATGTTTCCCTTGATTTCTTGGAATTTGAGTAGCACATTAACAGGTGCCCTCATCGGCCACCTTAGAGCGAAAGGCTCAGGCATGGCCGATGTGGCGCTTCGCATCTGCAGCCTTAGAGCGAAAAGCTCAGGTATGCCCCATTGTATTTTGTATCAGCGAACGGTTTAGGCCCAGCTGAAAGAGCACGTCGTACCGGCCCCTCAGAGCAAATCGCTCAGGTAGGGCCGACGATGTCCCCAGGACGATGGGCCCGCAAACGGCCCACGTCTTGAAACGGGAAGTTCACCGCGTCGTCCACGCGCCTGATCGCAGGACGACAGGCCTGAAATCATGGTCGAGGTGACAAAATCCCCAAACTCAGGGATGGGCAACGGCAGCCGTTGGAAACCAACCAAAAGTCTAGCCCGCGTCCTAAATAGGCGACGGGACCCCCCCTGAGATCATGGACGTTATAAACGAAGTCCAAACCGGCCGGAGGACTATCGACCCCTTCGGCCGAAGCCCGAAAGAAGGACACTCCCCGAAATAGAGAACAAAAACAAAAAAAAAGAAAAAAAAGGGAAGCCGAGGATTGCGCACACTTGCCGGCCTCGAGCAGTGAAAATAAATCCCCACAAATAAGCCACATTTGGCTAAGTACATATCAGTTGAATACAAAGGTAACACTACCAACAGGTAACACGGACGAAGCGGCCACCCACTACAAGGAAAGTGTTGAGGACAGAGCATGCGCCCATAAAACCCTAACCAAATTGGTTGGGTGAAACAAGGGTGGTAACCTTCATCGGCCATAACCACCTGAAGCGCCAACACTTAGCATGAAAAAAGGAATTATAACTTCAAACTTAAACACAATCTTGAAGCTGACCACCGGAAAGGACGCCCAAGATGAAGTGAAACACGAGTGGCAACCCCTACCGGCCACAACATTCATGCTGACCGTTACATGCGCTAAAACCTAGGCGGTTGTTTAAGCTGGAAATCCTCCAAGACATTTGTCTAAGTGATTTCCAAACACTTAGAAAAATTCTGCAGAAAGTTGCCTGAGTGAACTCTAAACACTTAGAGAATTTCTTGAGGAAAGCAAACGCGAAGGAAAAGGCAAACACCTGGGCACCCTCATCGGCCACAACGCCCAACTCGGCCGACGACAGTACTAAGCAGACAAACTACACGGCCTAACACTTGGGCAATCTCCTCAACGAAGGGACAGTCTCAAGACGAAGCGGGCACTCAAATACCTGTAGGTGCACGTCTCGGCCTCGCCAACGGCCGGTAAGGTCTTTTTAACCGTTAAAGACACTACGACTAAAGCGGCCGCTCAAGTTGACACTCAGTGGACTCCAAACACTTAGGAAGTTTTCCGGAAAACACAAATACCAAAGGCGTGGCCGACAACGGTACCACACAGAAGAAACTGCACTTAGAGAAATCTCCAAAGTATTGAATATCGAAGGGGCAGCCTCGAGATGAAGCGGGCACCTAAATACTTGCAGGGCGGTAGTTACCTATGTTTTGTATTGACACTTAGATAAATTCCTAAGTTCAAAAAACCAAGGCAAGAAACAAAAACACTCAAGGCCGAAGGGGACAACCAACCCGTGCACTCCAAAGGCCAAGTCCCATAGAGGACCACTTCGGCCATGACACTCAGACGGCAAAGGTCACTTACCCTTATCGGCCACAACACAGGAATCCAAGCCGACCTCCTGTTTAGATAAGGGGGATGGGAACAAAGCGGCCGCAAAGAATACCGGGCCGACAAGAACACCACGTGTGGCATTTGGTTCAACACTTGGGAAATTTTCCAAAACATCGGTCAACAGTGAAAGGGGGCGTAACATCAAGACGACGAGAACACCCACCCACTCGAAGCCCTGATACTTGGAGAATTTCCTGAGTCCCAATTCCAAAACACTTAGACGAATTTTGGAAAGAACAAAAACACAAAAACAAAGGAACCAAACGAAGAACAAGACGACAAAGACAGCAAGGAACTTAAACATGTTTCATTAACATAAATCATTACATGGTGGGCACTTCGGCCGTTACAGTCAAAACGATGAAACAAGGACACATTATAAGTTAAAGACAGTTGTGGACGATCATGCCTCCGTAGCAGCCTCGTCGGCAGCATGACCCACAACGTCCTCCTCAGCAACGAGCTCGGCACCACCATCGGCCCCAGCATCCAGGCCGGCCTCTACGGCGGAAGTGGCGGTGTCGTCCAAGTAATCGTCCTCTTCATACTCCGGTTCGCCAAAGCCGGAACTCTCTATGGGAGCTTGCCTGTCGCACAGAGGAAGGTTGATCTGCTCCTCCGGATTCCTCATTAGCCGAGGAAGCCGCATGTTCCGCCTGGCCCAACCCCGAGTATAGTTCAGGGTCCCGAGAGCGCGACTCAGCCGCCGATAGATGAGCCTCTGCATCCGATGCTGGCCCATGTTGTAGTACACGGACATTTCCCGTTCAAAATATTCTTGGTCTGCAGGGGAGTTCTGCCCCCAATCTTCAAGCTTGGCCGCTACGACCTCATAGCACCAGGGGAGGCGCTCGTCGGCCCTCCAGCCTTCAGCCAGGAACTTCGCCACAGCATCATCAACGGCCTTCACTGCCGCAGCCTCAGCTTCGGCCTTGGCCCTCTCGGCCTCATCTGCCCGCAGACGTTCAGCCTCACGGGCACTCTTCTCCTCGGCCAGTTTGGCCACGGCCTCTTCCTTGGCCGCATCGGCCGCATCAGCCCTCCTCTGCAAGGCCACAAAATCTCCCTGCAGCCTCCCCAAGCAGCTCATGGCCTCATCGGCCGAGGCTGCCTTCTCCTCAAACTCCTTCAAGTGGGCAATCTCCCGCTGCTGCCTCTTATTGCTCTCCATGAGAATAAAGGCACCCTGCAACGGAAAAGGCTATCAGGAAAAAGTGCAAAAATATCAAAGGAAAAACAACAAGGCTAAGGAAGAAAGGAATTATCTGGACGACAAGGTCCATACCACCGTCGTATATCTTAAAATCCCCCAGCTTGTCAAGATACACCCGGTCCTTGGCCGGGATGGCCTGAGAGAGCACGCTGTGGCCGTCAACGCCATCATTGAAACCCCCCGTCTTTGGGGTATTCAACCTCCAGCTTATATGTGGCCGTGGCCACCTCCTTGTCGGACCGCTTCGGCCGGGAGTCCTCAGCAAGGGAGGGGGGTTGAGAACCTTCCCCGGAAAGACCTGAGGTAAGGTCCATAAGGGCAGCTGCAGCACTGGACCCTCCTTCGTCCACAATTGGGACGGCTAGTACGCCGACTTCATCGGCAACGACAGAGGATGAAGCCTTCTTCGACTTCTTGGCGGGCTGCATACCGGCCTCAGACAGCTTCCTCTGGGATTCCTCCGCCGGCCGTTTTTTCTTCGGTTGGGGAGGGGGCCTTTTCGTCGCATCACCACCAGCAGCGGCCTTCGCTGCAGCTTCCTTGGTGGCCAACTCCGCCTTGGCCCTCGCAGCGGCCTTGTTCATCACGGATCTGCGATCCATAGCAAAGTCTACACAACAAGGAAAACGAACAGTTAGCAAAACATAAAAGAAAACATAGACGAAGACGCCAGGGGAGGTATTACCATCGGCATCAGCAGGAATGCCCATATCCGGGCCGTCGGCCTCCTCAAAAGTGGTGGTCATCTTCGGCCATAACTCGAGATCACCTTCGTTGTCACCATAAACATGGTACCTCATGAAGCCGAGGGCGGTCATTTTGTATTCCGTGATGTAATGTTTCACGCTCCTCGGCCCACCCTTCAGAAACGCTGCCAACTGGGCATCCAGAATACTGCTCTTCGGCACATCATGCAGGGTGAACTTACCGTCATGGCCAACCGAAGGAAACTCTGTGCCGTCCTCACCCAAGGACACGAAGACGAACTTGCTCTTCCATCCGTGAATAGACGAAGGGAGATCAGTGAAACTCCTCTTCTTCGGCAGCTGCTGAAGATTGGCGTAGCCATCACAGTTTTTGTGGCTTCCTCGGCCAATCTGGTACAGGTTCATAAACAGCGCCGTTGTCGGCCTAAAATCTAGCTCATCGCAGCAGAGAAGAAAGCCGACGATGAGCGAATAGCTGTTGGGAGTCAGCAAGGCCGGAGGGAGACCCACCATATCCAGATACTCCGTGATTAAGGGGTGAAGGGGAAACCTAAGTCCCTTTGCGAAGCTCATGGAGTATACTCCAAAATAACCCGGAGGTGGATTCAACACGTGATCCGTCGGCTTGGGCGCCCTAACCTGCCCGTACGGCCCCACGTACATCTGGGCCACCAGGTAGTCGGCCGCACTACTCTCCGGCTTAATCAGATAAAGATTGGAGAGATCCAGGTAGGAGAAACCTGGACCCCTCTTCGGCCGCCGCCTTCTCATCGGAGCAGCTCCCTTCACAGCAGAAACCGGCTTCGGGCAGGGGATCACAACCAATGTAGACGCTCCGTCCACAGCACGTGAAGCCCCTATTTCTTCACCATCAGACGACGAGGCAGCCTCTTCGTCCTCACCTTCACCCTCCCCGGACTTGAAGGAGCTCAACTCCTCTCTCCTCACAACACCCCTCTACCACCCGGTAATCAAGGGACCTAGCAGAGGGCTCGTCGTCGTACGGGTAGTACTCATCATCCAAAGGCTTCATTCTAACAGTTAACTAGAGCCTAGATATCTCTACTTTGGATCTAAGAGTCTATCTCCACTAACAAGGGATCAATGGCCTAGGAAGCGAAATAGGCAAATTACAGAGGGAAGTTTCAATGAACTAACCTTTGAAGTTTGGATGAACACGAAGAACACTTGCAAGAACTTTATCTCTCTAGAAAATTCAGCAGCACTTCGTTATCTCAGGAACGCAATGAGGAAACCTCTTCGGAGGAGGGGGGTATTTATAGACCCCCCCCCAACGGTCACTACATGTGGAAACCTACCATTGGCCACGTGAACGGCCACCACCCTCAAGGCCCATTGGGCTGGGCACCGGTTTAGAAGTCGGGTCAGGCCCACTTCCACAACACCAGCTCACCACCAACAGGCCAACCACTCAACGGCACACAAAGAAAGCGTGTGCGCATCGGCCCCAACACAGAGATACTTCAAATGGATAGGCCACATCTCAAGGCATGACCATATCGGCTTGAACAGAATGCCAATTGCATTGCCTTATCAACGGCCACGGCAGTAAAAACACCAAGAAAACCCCACGCCATCGACTCTGTATCAAACCCTGAGGATAATTTCTTGAAAGCGACCTGCGTCCAAGGGTTCTCCCACAGGGTTACCTTAACCAGGAAATCGCCAAGGAATTGGATTCAGGGGTATACAAGAGTCCGCTTCGACCTGGGTACATCCTTTACTCCTTCACCCCTCACCTAATCTTCGGCCTGAAGCAGTGGGGGACTGGGGGACTACACCGGCCTCTGCAAATCAGGACAAGATCAAAGAAATCCAAAAATATACTAAGTCCACAACATTAGACATGCACCACAACGTCCATAACATCGTGGTGCACCATCGGCCGCATCAAAGCTAGCAAACAAAGAATTCCCTCCCAGATCACCGCCATCATCGTCCTCAAGCGGCTTCGGCCAAAAAGCACACATCACTTTCACCGGCTACCTGGGAACAAAAGAACACTCATCATCCTCGAACAGGAGACAACCACAAGGGCCTCCTCGGCCCCAAAGAGCGAAGGGCAGCCACCAACTGTCACGAGTGGACATGACCATTCATCGGCCATTCATGACAAATGGCGCTCATCGTCCAACCAAAAGCAGCCCCAGTGGCCTCTTTGGCCAACAATACGAACTTTAACCAACGGTCAAAAGGAGTGAACAACACCCTTAACGGACACTCAAGATGAGGGAGGCACGTCATCTTCAAGCAAGAACGCAACCGCGGTGGCCTCTTCGGCCCAAAAAACAATCCACCCACCGAAGGTCGTGAGAAGGAAAGAATGTCTTCATCGGCCCCCCATGACCGGAACGCTCATCGTCCACATCAAGGGGAAGGCAACGGCCAAACTCAGAACAGGGCCACCAAACACCGCGACAGAGAGCGGCCAACGTGGTCCCGCATCGACCAAAAGCATCAAGCACAGAAATCTACTCTCCTTCACTTCGTCTACATCTCAGCTTAGAGAGTGGGGGACTCCTGATGGAGTATATGGGTCTAGGCCCCAGGACCCACATACTCAGAAGAACAGAAAGCACGAACCACTGCACAGTGCCCTCGTCGGCCAAAGGACCCATGACGGCCGAAGAGGGACCAACTCAGAATATAATCCTGAAGCCAGGGAACCAGGGTGTCCTCGTCGGCCGTGCTCTCATCGGCCGTGCCCTCGTCGGCCAAACCCTCGTCGGCAACGGAGGACTCGCAGGACTAGATTTTACACTTATTCATTTATATAGCCCATCAGTCACTTTGTATTCGGCCAAATAGCGGTCCAGTTGTAAATGGGCCTCCCAAGCCCAAGGTTTGGGAGCCCAGCCCGTATTTTTCCTATAAATACTTATCTGAATGTAGTTATAGGGGTTACAAAATCATTCTATTGAAGCATTTACTTGCACTTCTCTCTCTAGCTTTCACTTCTCTCTAGATATATACTCTATCAGATTTTTAACAAGCTTTAGTTCCATTTGGGAAATTCTACGGTAAAGTTTCTCCTCCAACCCAATTGTGAATCTATAGAATTGGTGTACGTGTATATACCTAAAAAAGAGGCGCGGACAAGAAGCTTCAGAATAGAGATTGAACAGATCCAGGAGGGTGAAGCACTGGAATTGTGATTGAACGGATCCAGGACGCTGAAGATGCCATCCATGTGTCTGCTTCCGATTTTTTTTTGATTTAGGGTTAGAGGATGAGGCGGAGGCTGCAGAGGAGGAGGAGAGTTCTGAGGAGGGCGATTGTTCACCACTTCAGAAGAGGGCTAAGACAGAAGACGAGGAAAGCGATCACGAGGAAAGCGATAACGGAAGATCAAATGGAGTTATTCTTAGCTTACCAGTCTCACGCTCGAAAGTATCATGGTTTTCATGTGGATATGAGTTTATGGCCGGATGGCGTTGGTATCATTGGTGGGATTGTGCCTGAGGACATTGAGAACGATGCAACCTCCAAAGCTGAAGTTTATGAGGCAGCTCGTCGTGCAATAAAAGTCGAGAACCCCGAGAGTCCGGAGCTGGAACTTGTACGGGTTATTCGAGCCAACTCAAATTGCTACGCTCTGTTCATAACCATGGTGGTTAAAGATGTGGCTTCGGAAAAAGAGGCAAATTATCAAGCACTTGCCAACTACTGGCCAAGAAAAGAGGGACCGGACTACTTCCGATTGTTCTTCTTAAGGCCAGAACCGAAAAAACATAGAATTGAAGATGTGGTTGAGACTGATGAAACACATGCAGGCCACTTTGAAGAGTAACACACACACACACAAGTTATTTAATGTGAAGGACTGGATGTTATTTAATACTCTGATCTTGAACTTAGTTAAGCCACTCTACGATTATTATTACTCCCTCCATCCCACGATGAACCTCATAGTTTGACCTACACATATATTAAGGAAATAAACTTATCGGGATATGTTTTACTGTTTTGACACTGTTTCGACACTGTTTATCACTGTTTTGACACTGTTTGGCACTGTTTTGCATTGTATGACACTGTTTTGATGTAGATTAACTTGCCATTTAAGGAAATGGGAACTTGTTTCTGGGACATCCAAAAAAGGAAAGTGGGATTATCATTGTGGGACGGAGGGAGTATTATGAACTTGTGGTGTTGTTGAGTACTCAAAGTCATGTGCTTGAACTCACTTAAGTTAGTCTACTATTATTATTATGAACTTGTGGTGCTGAGTATTGAGAATCTGTCATTCTGTTGCAAAAAAAACTAAAAACGAGACGCAAGACCTGTTTTACGTAACTTCTTTTCAAACCTTCTTCATCGTTGAGAATAGCCGCAGCTTCCAGGTACGTACATCAAGCTTCCTTCATATTTTTGAATTTTTCTCACACACACACCCCTCCCCACCCCCCATACACATATAGAGCCTCGTTCGCAAAGGTGCTGGACCGTAGTGGTGAAGGCTTCTCTTGTCACATGGAATGCAGTCATATAGAGTGGATTATCCTGCCCCGGTAGAAGTTATGTATTCTGAAATGTTTCGCATTATTGAGTTATTATAGAGTGGGGCTGCATGATTGGATTTCTTATTTTGACACATACATATATATTTTTGAGAGTACTCTTCCTGTCAGGAATTTCTGACCGGAACCGCCATCCGGACGAGAGAATTTGGGGTCCTTCCCGATTAAATTTTTTGATGCAATTTTTATGAAATGTTATTCATCAAGTCTAGTTTATCCATAAAAACTTTCAGCTAAAAATTCAATCGGGAAAACCGTCAAATGTGTTTTGGAAGATAACTGCGCCAAAATATACATATAAAACGCAGTTAACTTCCAAAAATTATTTCTCACCTTTCCCTATTGAATTTTTAGCTTAAATTGTGTATGGATAAACTAGACTTGATGAAGAACATTCCATAAAAATTTCATCAAAAACTTTCACCGGGAAGGCGGCCAAACGCTGCCTTCCAGACGGCGGTTCTGGCCCGAAATTCCGGACCTGAACATTTCTCTATATATGAAGCTTACACTTAAATTAGAGGGGAAGCATACATATATCATGCAATCGTTTTATCTTCTCGATTTTTCTTTTTTATAATTTGTTTTCATAATTTCTTTTTTATTGAATAATTGAGTTATGTACGTACACATCTAGCTTCATATTTTTGCTTCATGATTTATAGGTGACATAATATGGTGATGTCTTCAATCTCATGTCTATTACTCCACAGACCTAAAGTTTATCCAAACAATAAAAACAATTGTTCCAAAATACCAAAGCAAAAACAAATTCATAAAAAATAAATAACTAGTCTTCACACATAATGTTTCTAGTGTTCCAGCAAGTATTACTATTTAGTTTCCTCAAGACTTGAGCTTCTTTAACTGTAATAACACCTGCCACACAATAAAAGTACGATCAGTTTTTAAGTAATTTATTTTTCATAACTATTATTAGTAAAAGTAAATGCAGAAAATGGTACAAAAACATTCAATTACCAAAAAGACCATCCTTTTCCCATTCCTTTAAAATTTGATCTTGATACATCTCAAATGTCTCTCTAATGCTTACGGGAAGTTCGGTGACATCTTGATTCAAAATACGCTCTTGTTCTTGTCTCTTTTGAGCTTTCTCCTTAAACTTTTGAGCAGCCTCTTTTAACTGTTGATCCTTCTCCTTTAACCGTTGATCCTTCTCCTTCGATCTCTGAGCATCTTCTTTTAGCTTCAACTCTCTTTCCATTATCTTTTCTCGTAACTCAAAGTCTTTTAAGTCCTTTTCCCTCTTCATTTTGAGCTCTTCCTGACTATTACAAATCTGTTTTTCCATTGTAGTTTGTAACTTATTGAAAGCATCAACTACTAATTTTTCATCATTCAACCTCCTCTTTTTTTCTTTAGTAGCCTTTCTTCCTTCAAGGCATTCAATATCATTGCATTTACCATCATCATTAACATCTACATTGGGACACTTTTCACCTTCATTACATGATCTCCCTGGTTGGGTTGTTACTCGGGTATCACCACTTCCATTGGTAGCTTTTTGCTTAGAGTTATCTTTGCTCCTAGTGACCTCCTTTACGAACCATTTTGAATTTGTTTTCATGATCTCCCAACAATGCTCATACTGGAAAGACGGACCATTATTAATATCTTCATACATGCGCATTGCCTTTCGCCTCTACAAATAAAAAATCAACTCTTGAGCATAGATAAACACATTAAACAACTCAAACATCACATGTGAAAGAAGGCAGATTGTGGTTTTTAAAAGGAAGTGAGAATAAAA